TATGCTGCATTATTAAACACGGACTATGTAAAGAATGATACTTTCAACAAAAACTTCTTTAAAGATTGGCAAGTTATCTTGGAAGAATCTGAAGAAAATCCACTAATTGAGGATTTTGAAAAATGTGATTTACTTCTATATATGATTATTTACAAGAAGAAAAGGAACAAAGAAAGAATTTTCCAAAAGAGGAAAAACAAAGGTTGAAAGATGAAAAGACCAGAGTTGATGAATTTTATGGTTATCGTTACTTAGATGGATGTAAAGAAAAAGTTGGTAATTTTAGAATTGAGCCACCTGGTTTTGTTTAGAGGTCGTGGTGATCATCCTAAAACTGGTTCATTGAAGTCAAGAGTCACCCTCAAGCAAATAACAAATAATATCAGTAAAGATGCACTTATCCTTCCTCCGCCTGCTGGCCACTCCTGGGGTGGTATTCTACGTTATAACACAGTTACCTGACTCACCACCTGGAAGGAGAATGTAAATGACAGTAGAAAATATGTGTTTTTAGCAGCCAATAGCTCACTTAAAGGTCAAAGTGACTTGAAAAAATTTGAAAAGCTAGGGAACTTGATAAACACATAGAAAAAATTTGCTGTGATTTAAAATATAGACTCAGTTCAGTTTGTCAATGCGCTACGGCTATGTATCTTATTGACAGGCTTGCACTAAGAGCAGGAAATGAAAAAACTGGTGAAGAAGCGGATACTGTGAACATATTACTTTAGTAGCACCAAAGACAGTTGAGTTTGATTTTTTAGCTAAAGATTCAGTAAGATATGTAAATTCAGCAGAAGTAATAAAACAAGTCTTCAAAAATCTTAAAATATTTATTAAGGATAAGGGACCCACTGAACCATTATTTGACAGATTAATGGTATAAAAAAAAATATATATATTTTTAAAATTTCAAATTTCATACATTGCATATATATATATATATATATACATACATGTGTGTGTTCTATTAATGAATTCAAAATTTTCTTTAAAAAAATTATTTTAGACTCAAGATTTGAATAGACATTTATCTGAATTCACGGAGGGACTAACTACCAAAGTGTTCTGTACATAAAATGCATCTCGTACCTTCCAAATTGAGCTAAAGAAAGAGATGGAGGATGCTACTACTGTAACAGAGAAAATGATAGCATATAATAAAGCAAACAGACAGGTTGCTATTTTATGTAACCATCAACATTCCGTCAGCAAGGTTCATGATAATCAAATCAATAGAATTGACAATAAGGCATTTTTTTTTTATCATGATTATTGTTAATTTCTTAAATAAATTCACATGTATGTATTCTTTAATATGTTAGGTCCATGCTTTGAAATACCAAAGAAATAGATGTAAAATGGAATTGTTGAATCTTGACCCTGGATTAAAAACAAGAGAGCCTCAACTATTTGAACCAGAATCAGACATGGAAGAGGAATGGATAATTGAGCATGAGAAGCAATTGATGGAAAGGGAACATTTGGCAGCTGTAAAAAAATTTGAAAGAGATAATGAAAAGCTTACAGGAGAAGGAAAGTCACCTAAACCTGATGAGAATCTTAAACAATTATTAAAAAACATTGATGAAAAAAAGAAGGTATTGAAGAATGAACAAAAATCTGGAAAGGTCAGTCTGAGAAAAGGACAAACAAGTGAAAAACTCCAGATCCAAATAGAAAAATTGACAGAATGTATTAAAACCACCAAATTATTAAAACAAGATAAAGAGGACAACAAGACAACTGCGTTAGGCACATTGAAAATCCATTACTTAGGCCCACAGATCTCTGTTGCATGGTGCAAAAAATATGATGTGCCAATCACTAAAATTTTCAACAAGTGCTTCCATGAAAAGTTCCAGTGGGCGTTGGATGTAGATGCAGATTGGGTGAGTTTTTTTTTTTTTAATTAATTTTTTAAATAATAATATATTTAAAATTATTTTTATTATTTTATAGGAATTTTAATCGTTGTGCAGTTATTTTTCATTTGGCCATTTTTTGCTTTTGCTATTTTAAACTTGTGAATTTGTACATTGTGCTTGGTATTAAATCTCCACCTGGTGGATGGTTATATTTTTATGCCAATAGAAATTTTTTTATAATTTAGATCTGATGATAGTAAGGATTCTATTATCATCATCATTAACTATATTATTATTATTATTAATTTAGATTATAAATATGAAAGCTACAATTTATATATATACACTCCCTCTATCAATTTCATTGTATTATAAATAATGATAAATTTTAGTGATACAAAATAAACTTATTTTATTCCTGTAATCAATCCAAAGATAAATTCATGCTAAGCTTAAAATCTTATTTTCACTTTGGCATTGACTTGGTTGTACTGGCTTTATTCAATTTCAATCTGGCTGATACTTTTCTAGTTACATTTTTAAGAAAACAAATACAAGTAAATTGGTTTTTAAACTAATCCTAAAGTAAGCTTATTCGATTGTTTGTTTATTATTTATTTATTAGATAAGTCGTAACAAATAATAATTTATTTAAAAAAAATGACTATTTAAAAGATTTTTATATGCGCTTAATATAAAATTAGTCAACCATGAAAGTGTTGATGTATTAAATTTATTAATTGCTGCCGATGAGCTTGGTCTTGACTCGCTTTACAATATTGCAATAGTTTCCTTTGTCAATGACCATGATGACTATATAAATAATAACACAGTTAAAATCCTAAGATTAATATACTCTAAAGAAAGATTTGATGGATTGAAAAACATCTGTTTAGTAAAAATTTGCAATTATAGCGAAAAATTATTTCAATCAAGTGAATATGAATTATTGGAAGAACAAATTCTATTGGAGATTCTCAAAAGAGACGATTTTTATGTTGACGAAATAGATGTTTGGGAAAATATTATTAAATGGGGATTAGCAAGACATCCAGAAATTAATAATCATGATGTTGAAGTTTGGTCAGAACAGCACTTTTCCAAAGTTGGAACTACAATAAAAGAATTGATTTCTTCAATCAGATTCAAAGATATCTCTAACAAGGATTTTTATCATAAAATTTCACAATATCAATCGCTTTTCCCCAAGGATTTGTGGAAACAAGTTTCGCAATATTTTATAGTTCCTGATCGATCAACTTTAAATTTATTGCCATCTAGAAATTCAAAACTTGACTCAATTATAATTAATAAAAAGCTACTTTTGCCTTTTGCAAGTTTGATCGACAGAAAAAGTTTGCCATATAGCTTAATCAGTGAAGTTAAATATGAGTTTAAGCTTTTATATCGTAGTAGTAAGGATGGCTTAAACATAAATATATTTCATGGTAAATGTAATGATATCGATAGAACTCTTGCAGTTGCCAAGATACAAAATTCTGATCAAGTAATTGGTGGTTACAATCCATTAAGTTGGAATGGAGGTAGTTTATTTGGTAAATACAAAAGAACAACGGAAAGTTTTATTTTTAATGTAAGCAATAGAAATGATTCAAATACCATACAATACAGCTACGTCAATAATGACAAACATTCAATTCTGTGTGGTATATTGTATTTACCTATTTTTGGTCATGGTAGTGATATATGTTTTGAAGATGATGGCAGTATTGTTAGTAAGCCGATACTTATAATAACATTAATATAGTACATGGTAGTAAATTTGATGTTTTGGAAGTATTTCAAATAATTGATAGGAATATATATAAGTAAATTTCTATTTTTATTTTATTTTACTACTATACTTAATTATTATTCATTTTAAACGACGATTTATTTTATATACATATATCCTAGTTTTTATTAATATTAAAATCAAGTGATTCCTAAAATAAGATTAAATGAACCGTCTTCTTACATTACTCTCTTGATTTTAATCCATAGCTGTAATATATTCACATTTCATTTTGGCATAATCGTATCGCGTGAAACACATCTCTAACCATAAAAGCCATGAATGACCAACAAGTCATATGCCAACACTATGTTACAGCACACCCATATAATAATAAATAATAAAATCCCAGGTTCAAAAAAAAACAAAATATAAAAATGTTTACAAGTCGTGTACACACAGGAGAAGTATTTGAAATTTTAGCCTTGGACAATTCAATTAGTGATGGAGGTGGTTGTTCAATTACGATTGGTAAAACTGGATCTGTTTTAATTGTTTGTAAGAATGGTGATAGCATCTCTGTCAATGGTTTGTACTTTATAATTAATTTAGTCTTGTTAGAATTAAATGATAATTGATTAATTGAATTTTTATTATTTGATTTTTGAAGGAATTTGTCTAACGGTAACAAGATTCGATAGTTTGGCTTCATGATTTGAAGTTGAACTTCCACCTGAAACTCTTAGAAGAACGAATCTTGGAGAATTAAAAATTGGTGATAAAGTAAATTTAGTAAGACCTTTAACATCATCATTTAATGATGAACATTTTCTACAAGTAAGTTTTAACAATCAGTCAATATATATGATTCGTAACAATAACAAAGAAACTTTCCTCTTACCCTCTTCGCCGTCTTCTTTTAACTGCAAGCATAAATGCGATATATGTCAAAGGTCTTATAATCGATTAGAACATTTAGTTCGTCATAGTAGAGTACATACTGGAGAGAAGAAATCACATGAATGCAATTGGGGCAGATGTACCAAAAAATTCTCCAGATCAGATCAACTCACAAGACATCGTCGAACACATAATAACAATTCATTACGGCATAAATTGAAATTATCAGATGGTTCGTCATATATTCGTATCGGTGGAGTAGGATTGGTTGTTAAAACCATTATGCCATTGAAAGAAAGTGGTGATAAAGTGAAATCAAAATTATGATGGTAATAAATGAAAATTATATCGAATAAGAAATATTTGGATAAATAAATTAAAATAAATGACATAGTATAGTGCTTAATTTATCTGATAAATTAAACAAATAATTATACTCTTTATTTCAGTTAATAATATTAATTAAAAAATCAGAATTCCATGATATGGCTAAATTCGGCATATCATAATATCCATATTGGCATTCTATACTCGGAAATTTGATTTCTAATTTCTCTTTAATTTTGCTATGAATTATTTGGATAGCATTATAACAATTATTAACTCCAATTTCAAGATCGGAAGTACAAATCTTATTATCATCTGAAAACTTAAAAGAAATATATGTTTCAAATCTTTCCAATGACTTGTAAATTGGTTCTTCTAAAACATTTATAATATCATCAATAATTTTCCTATGTTTTAAACTAACTTCACGCAATCTTTGATTTGGAAAAGGTATTTGAAAATAATCCAATTCATTTTCAAGTTCCATTCGTGATATATTAAAATTGTCCGCTTTCCGGCTATGATCAAATGGATCCCATAAATATTTACCTGTACGGTAATATTCCATTATATAATGAAAAGCTCTTCCATTTCTATCAAAAAAATATTCATTGTCATTATCAGTTGGTTTTAAAAGACTTTTATTTCTCTCTTGAAACATTGTGCCTAAGAGTGTATTTGGATATTGTGTAAGTGTTGATATATAAGTCACATACTTTTATTTTTTTTTTCAAAAATGATTAATTCAATTAACGTTATAAAAGCCATTATTATTTGAAGTTAAATATACACATACTTTAATGCCTCCAACATTCAAAGTAACTCTTTCGTCAATATCTTTGGTTTCTCTTTGATGATTACTACTTTCCTCCATGTTTTTTTTTTATTGTTATAATTTTTAATGTCGTATTAATGTTATCGGATCAGTATTGTTACAGATATCTGGATATTTTTAGGGGGATATATCCATTTAATATCAAACTTACTTTATACAGATAATCCAAATATTATAAGAGGATAAATGTTTTGGTGTGGGAAAATTTACTAAAACGATTCACACGTTCACGAAAATTTTTTATAACTGTTGCAAATTTTAGTTTTAAAGTACGAGAATGACTATAAACTTCATCATCATCTGTAAAATAGTGTATCCTTCTACAAGCATCTATTGACTTATAAATCTTCCCATCCAAAAAACCTACAATTTTCTTGACAGTTTCAAACCAATTTCGTACAATCTTTGGTTTGGATAAGGTATTTGGAAATAATCAAATTCAAGTTTCTTTTGTGAGATCAACAAAACTTGATACTTTTGATAATAATAATAGTTAAAATTATATTGAATAAGAAATATTTAGATGAAAATTTAAAAAATTTAATATGATAACATATAGTGCTTAATCTATCTGATAAATTAAACAATCAAGTTAACAAATAATTGTACAATTAATAATATTAATTAACAAAATCATAATTCAATGTTATCCTTAATTGACGATAATTATTATAATTATAATTCATGAATTTTATACCCGGAAATTTCTTCTCTAATTCCTTTTCAATATTGTCACTAAGTATTCGAAGACCCTTATAACAATTATTAATATTAACTCCAGTTTCAAGATCGGAAATACAAATCTTATTATCCTTTGAAAACTCAAAAGAAATAGATGTTTCAAGATTTTCCAATGACTTGTAAATTGGTTCTTCTAAAACGTTTATAATATCATCAATAAATTTCCTATGTTTTAAACCAATTTCACGCAATCTTTGATTTGGAAAAGGTATTTGAAAATAATCCAATTCATTTTCAACTTCCATTCGTGATATATTAAAATTGTCCGCTTTCCGGCTATGATCAAATGGATCCCATAAATATTTACCTGTACGGTAATATTCCATTATATAATGAAAAGCTCTTCCATTTCTATCAAAAAAATATTCATTGTCATTATCAGTTGGTTTTAAAAGACTTTTATTTCTCTCTTGAAACATTGTGCCTAAGAGTGTATTTGGATATTGTGTAAGTGTTGATATATAAGTCACATACTTTTATTTTTTTTTTTTCAAAAATAAAAATTTTAATAATTACTTCAATTAATGTTATAAAAAGCCATTATTATTTGAAGCTAAATATTCACATACTTTAATGCCTCCAACATTCAAAGTAATTCTTTCGTTAATATCTTTGGTTTCTCTTTGATGATTACTACTTTCCTCCATGTTTTTTTTTTTTATGAGGATGTATCCGTTTAATAATCAACAAAACTTTATACTAATACTAATACTAATATGGATATCTAGATATTTTCCCGTTAAATGGGAAGATTTTACAAATGATACACATATAAACTCGATGAGTCGAACGCAAGCAATCAATTGTTTAAAGTACTTTATAATATAAATAAATGTCTGACTTATCGCATTTACAAGTGATAATAGTCCATTTACCAAAATTGTGAAATTATTCACATAATTACATTCCCAAGCCTGAAAGTTATTTCTCAATTCTTCTTTGATTCTTTTGTGATATATTTTGCATATTTTATAACTGTTGCTAGTTTTAATTTTAACAGTACGAGAATGACTATATATTACTTCTTCATCTGTAAAAATAGTGTATCCTTGCTTTCTACAAGCATTCATTGACCCATATATCTTTTCCCTCTAAAAAACCTACAATTTCCTCTATAATTTTTTATGTTTCAAGTCATAATCAAAACCTTTCTTGCGATATCAACAAACAATTTTCTGATACTCTGCTACTGCTACGATATCATTCCATTATATAGTGAGATGCCCTTCCATTTCTATCAAAAAAATATTCATTACTATTATTAGTTGGTTTAATAAATTTTCAAGAAGCATCAAAATATTATCAGAAACAAATGATTGTTATTTAAATTAACCAAATTTTTGGTAAGTAAATAGATACTTTAACAGTGATGTCCGTCTGTATTTTCGTTCTGTGGTCTTTGGAGGCTCTCCTTCCCGAAAATCATATTAAATTATAACTATCGCAGCATTTTTTTCAAACATTTTCACCTTCCCGCAGTACAAAATTCAATCTCCTTCTGGAAAGAGCGGTTGAGGTTCAGCAATGTTAGATGTTGCAGTTATAGTGACAAATCATAATGATATACAAGGATAATATTGTAACTGAGGCAATGTATGCATCAGAAGAAGTTAAACGAGCAAAAATCCATGTTGGTTTGGTTAATACATCAATTCTATTTATAGCCAGGAGAAATCTACATTTTATTTATGTCCATAATATACAAAACGTTCTAAGCTCGGTGACTTATCCGAGCGAAACTATCTGTGTAGGTAGATGGTTTGTTATACAAATATCATTAAACCTGAAACCATTATTTATTTTATTATATAAATATCATTAATACTAACGCTATTTATTTCAAAATTCTTGATAATAATAATAATGAATCTTAGAAATAAGACTAATTTAAATTAGTAATTATATAAAAAAGTAGCTACAATAGCACATGACACAACAATAATTATTTTATTTATATACATAAAATAAAAACTATGCAATTTAATATTGAAAATTTTTTGCCAATATGAAAACATATATATATAAATAAAAAACTCAATTACATTATCATCATTATTTAGAATCCCAACGACGTTTACGTAAAGTTCCCGTAGATTGTTGTGATTGATTTGAAGGAGATTGTGTATTACTATTAGCAGTTGCTGATGATGATGACGAATTAGTAGCAACATTATTGTTATTATTATTATTATTATTATTATTATTATTATTATTAGTTATCGATGAGAATGATGACGATGACGATGCAGCACTTGATCTAAGTAATCCTAATCCTGATTCAGCTGATGTCGCTTTATGAAAATTCATTTGAATTTTTGAAAAAATCTTTTTGGCAGGAGGACCAGCATCAAGATGCGGTGGAGGTGGTATTTGTACACCGCCACTACTACGTCCACCATCATCACTTCCAATTCCTGCTCTTCCTCCTCCAAGTGGAATAGAATTTGAACTAGAACCAACTGCACCACGACCTATACATATAAATATACAATTATTGAATGTTTTTATTGAATAGCACCGACTAAATGATAATTCATAACAACTTACCACTTCCGCCGCGACCTCGTCCACGACCACTTTTTCCACCACGTCTTCCTCTAATCATATTTCTTGATTTGCGGAATCTATTATTCTAATAAATTATTTTTAAGATATACCATAAGTAATACAACATATAACTCGTTTGTACTTTTTTTTTTTTCAAAAAAAATTTTTTTGACAATTACCTGCATTGCCAAATCCATCAAATCAGTTGGGACAATTTGTCCAGCTAATTCAAGATTTCTAACCAAATCACCTGCAAATTTATCTTCTTTCTTTGTAATAAACGTATATGCGGTACCCTTTTCGCCTATGAAATTTTTAAATAAAAAAAAGTAAAAAAATAATAGAGATTTTCGTTATCATCAATCATTCATATTAAAATTATCAAATAAATAAATAGTTGGTGATAAAATTTACCCGCTCTTCCTGTCCTTCCAATTCGATGTACATGAGAATCAATATCTCTTGCGATATCATAATTAATCACAGTCTTAACTGATTTGATGTCAAGACCTCTTGCTAATATAAATACAATAGAAATGAATTTCTAAAATTATCACAATAATAAAAATAATAGCAAATCATTATCAACAGCTACTATAAAACACGTACCAGCTACATCAGTTGCCACCAACACAGAAAATTTACTATTCTTAAAATCTTTTAATACTTTGTCACGTTCTGACTGCATCATATCACCATGCAAAGCGCCGCCTTTTAAATTTAATTTATAAATATTAGGATAAAAAACTATTCCAACGATCAAATTTTTAAATCACAATACATACATTCATGACCAGCTTGTCGAAGATTCAGGGATAATTCGTCAACTCCACCTTTGCGACTAACAAAAATTAAGACGCTGCCATCTTTATTTTTATAACCAATTAAAAATAATTAAATAATTGAGCAATAAAATACGAGGTTAAAATTAAATAATATGTAAGGTTCACTCACCAACACAAAGTGCCACTAAATTCGAAATCAGCCAGTCCCATTTATACCCATCATCGGTTAGAATAACAAATACTTGTGTGATATCAGTATTTGCCTAAAAAAGTTATTCCCGTTTGTTAAGAAATTTTAAATATCTATTTATACGTATGTGTATATTTGTATACCTGTCCAATATTGCCAATTGATATTCTAATAGGTTCTGTTGTAACTTCACGAGCTAATTTTTCCACTTTTTTGGGAAAGGTTGCACTAAAAAGTAATGCTATTTATAATAATATTTATATTTAAAAATAGTTAGAAATAAATTGATAAATAAGCAACATTGAGAATCTCTGCAAATCAATTAATCAATAAATCGAGCATTTACTTTGTCTATCTGGTCGGATATTATCACATATGGATCGTACTTGTGGTTCTAGATATATTAACGTAACGTTGAATCATAATGATATATCTGGTTAATATTATTATCATCATTATTGCTATTATTATTACTGTCGTTTGTGTTGTTATCATTAATTTACCAAATCCAAGATCAAACATTCGATCAGCTTCATCAAGGACCAAGAAACTAACTCGACGGAAATTTGTTGCTTTCATTTTTACCATGTCAATAAGTCTTCCCTGATTTCATATATAAATATTTAAATAAATGTTTTTTCATCAAAAAAAAAATTTTTGACATAATAGTTATTGGTAAAAAAAAATTTGGGTTTTTTTTTTCTTAAACTTACTGGTGTACCAACAAGGATTTCTATATTACCCTGTCTCAGTTCTTTGAATTGATCCATTTTAGAGGCACCGCCATAAACTGCAGCAACTCTGCATTTAATTAGAAAGCAAAGTATTTGGGAAGCAGAGAGAGACAGTAGTGTATGCGTCGATAGGATTTTTTTTTTCTAACAATTTTATATATATGTATATGAGAGATCAAATTCTATGATTTCTACCTCAATCCGTAACTCTTTGCAAATTTTTTGGCTTCAATGTAAATTTGACTTGTCAATTCCCTTGTAGGCGCCAATATTAATCCAATAGGTCCTTCTCCTGATTAATAAGGAAGGATTTGAAATATAATATTTAGTATATAGTGATGGTACATATATAAAAAATAATCTTTTTAATACCTTTTTTAAGTTCTTCTTGATCCATTATGTGTATCAGCATTGGCCATATGAATGCTGCTGTTTTACCAGAACCTATTAATAAGAATTTATTAATGTTGTTGTATCATTATTAACAGTTTCAACTTTCTGAATTGCAAAATTGATCTCTACCTGTTTTTGCTATGCCAATAATGTCTCGACCAGATAATGCAACAGGTAGTGCCTAATATAATTTTTTGAAAATTAAAATAAATAAATATATGTATATTCTTTGATAACTTGTATAAATGAATAAAATGCCTGTTTTTGGATTCCAGTAGGTTCAGAATATCCATATTTTATAATTGTATCTAATAAAGCCTCGTCAAAACCAAAATGTGCGAATGAAATACAAGGCTTTGCTGCATCGACGCCAGATACATGCATATCTATTGAAAATCATAATACGTGATTAATTAATCGGATCTCGAAATAAAATATAAATAACACTTATATTACCAAGTTCAACTTGTAATTGTTTAATACGATCATCAGATAAACTTGCAATTTCAGGATGTTCTTCATAAAAGTTTTTCTCAATTTCAATATAATCAATCTTTGAATGATCTAATTAACAACAACAACAATAATAATATAATAATAATAATAATGTTATTAGCAAGATGCATATGTGTGTATATTTATATTTGATATTTTATGTTTTATATGTGAATATCATTATCTTACCTACTGGTGCCAATGGTTCAACATCTTTGCGTTTTTGCTCTACAATAGGATTATCATCTGAATCATACCTAGTATTCCATGTATACATATAATTAGCAATTGATTTATTGATTAAATTTTATCATTATTAATGAAAAATGGCTTTACTCAAGTTGTGCATCAATAGCACGAGCAGTTGCATAAACTTCTTCATCTGAATTTACATTCTAAATAAAAAAATATTTTTTTAATTAATTAATTTTAAGAAATATTCAAATCAAAAAATTTTTAAAAGGAAAAAGACTTGATTAAAAAATCCTAATATTACTTCATCTTTTTCCATAGGCTTTTGACTCTTTCCAACTTCTATTCCTTTCTTTTTCATATGATTCACATAACTTTCAACAAAATCTTCGTCTTCGATATCATCACGACGGATCTTCGATAACAAAAATTGAAAAAATATCAATAATTATAATACGGGATCGTGAATCAGAAATAATTTCCATTTTTTAAAAAAACATGGTATTATTACTGTTTCTTTTTGTGTAGTAGTAGTTTTGCTTTCTTTCTCGACTTGATCATAGATACCAAGCATATAAGCTTCTAATGGATCATCTTCAGTATCCTCCTCATTGATTACAGGTGATTTTGTTTGTTCCATATTTTTATTTATTATGATAAACTCTAAAATTAATATTAATATTAAATAATTAAAATATTAATTGGAAATGATGGACGCATTACATTTAAACTTGTCAAAATTGTTAACCAAGTCTGATTTATAGATATTAGAGTTGGATATCATTTTAAAGCTCGCGCTAATGTTTTAAAAGCAAAGGTCTTTATACTTTAAAACTACTTTGTCTGATAATTGGATTAAAAGTTATGAAGATGATGACATTTTATTTATATTTCTCCAAAATATTTGATGGATTATTCATTTTTATAAATTTTAAAATTTTAAAAGTAATATTTACAATGGAACTGCTAATATACAAAATCTGATATTTGTGATGAATTCTAATACTGATTTGATAAAAGCCATATAATGAATGTCTTGATGGATGAGTAAAATATGAGGAATTTGGCAGAGTTGGAAATAAACCCTTGATAATTTTGATCTGGGATTCTTTTCCATGTAAGATGATGGTTCCATCCAGGGTGTTTTGGAAAAATTCCAATGGTTGAATCTCACTTGGTTCCTTTCATTTTGTGCAAATCAAAGCATAGGCAGACAGGGTTAGAGTTGACAATACCCTGGCCATTATCCAATATGTTCAAGGTGTATTGTGGCTTTGTGTTCCTGATGATAGTGGATGGTTGAGTTGGTAAATTTGGTTGAGGTGATTGATTATCATTTTGAATTGGTGATTGAGATGGTGGAGTTGGAGTTGCTTGTGGTTGTTTGTGATGCTGTTGTTGGATTCTACACTTACATATTGGGTTGAAACAAATTTATATAAGTGATATGTGAGAAAAAAAGATCATATCACTGTATAGATTTGAAGAATTTCACATTTACATATTACTATGTATCTTATGAAATAAAGTGATTGAAATGATTATATGGGACATACTGCAACAAAACCAGACAAAGTGAACATTTGTATTACCAAGAATTTCAGGGATCAAAATTTAG